TTTTATCTTCTTTAATAAGTGTTTTATTTTGGAGATTTAATGCCATAGAAATCTAGCTATGAATTAGCTTTAGTAAATTGAATGGGAATTATTCATTTCAGTTTTTATTATTATGTTTTTTATTTGTTCCTTTATACTTTTCTGATTATAAAACAATCCATTCTTACCTTAGAAAATTGCATAATTTTACTGAGGGCTCTAGGAATATCTGACTTGGTCTTATTCAGTCAATATGAAATATTCATTTATCCTTCGACCTATAAATTTCACTTCTAGGTAATGAAATGCAGGATTTATTACAGTAGATAAATGTTGTAATCAATATATATTTGGCCATATTTGGCCAGAAGACTTAATACACATGCAATAGAATATGCACAGGGTTTGGAGTACTGTGCAATTTGAGTAAAAATGAGAATGTTCTCTACACAATGACATAAATGTATCTCTTACATATACCGTTAATTTTGGAAAAGAAACATGGTACAAAGAAAGTATATTTTGTAAAAGGAGGAGGAAAACATGAAAATATGGGTTAATATTTTCATCAAAAAATTCAAGTGCAGTTAGCCCTTCATATCCATGGATCCCTGGTTCTGCATCCAAGGTTTCAGTCAACTTTGTATCAAAAATCTTTTTAAAATACAATTAAAAAATGCAGAATAATAATTATTTATACAGCATTTACATTAGGTATTGTAAATAATCTATATACATTATTTAGATGATGGATACTCTAAAAGATTACCACTATGCAATCTGTGCATGTAATAAAATATCACCTGCATCTTATAAATTTATGTAAGAAAGGTATACAAGATGTTCATAGGTTATATACAAATACTATGCCATTTTATATAAGGGACTTGGACGTTCTGGATTTTGGTATCCAAGGGCTTTCCTGGAACAATCCCCCATGGATACCAAGAGAAGACAATGATTAATAAAAGTAACTAACCAGAAAAGAGGTAAGGTCAATGATTTTAAATGTCTAACATTTTATTTAAGTTTCAAACTTGTGAATATGATCTATTTAAAAAAATCAATTCTGAAGAATGTAGTAATTAGGTCCATTGGCAAATATTTGGAAAATTGAGAAAAGCATGATTATGAAAATGCAACAAAAGCGTAAGATTAATGTTTTCTTACTGTTTTTGTACTTGCTATCATGGAAGGCAACATTTCTTTGATTAAATTGTTGATTCTTCTTATGTTAAGATTTGCTGAGAGAGAATTTTAAATGTCTGTGGAAACCTCTCACCTGAGTTTTTTTTAAAACAAATATAATAAGCCAATTTGATCCTCACTATCCTGTAATCTGATAAATAAAGTTCTTAATGTTTTCCTCAGATAAGTTTGATTTTTAAAACTCAGTGCTTCATTTATACCCCTCACAATATGCTGAAACAAAAAATTAAAAAATACTCAGTGCTCACCAGATTATTAGAATTATGCCACTGCTATACTATAGTCACAAATTAACCTCAAATACATAGAAATTCCCCCAAATTTGTTAACAATCGAGTATATAAGGAAATGCTGCATGAATTAAATTTTGTAGTAAGGCAGAAATACGAAGTATGCTGATACTCAATATTGGAGACCACTAAACTGCATTAATTTAAAAAGAACTCACTATATGTATTTAGTTTTGTGTAATGAGTGTGCTTAACTTTTTTAAAAATGAAATTCTAAAATTAATTATCTTTCTTTATGCCTATAATTTTATACTTTATATTTATTATATTATGTATGTGTTTTGAGCTCAAAAAGAAAAGAATTCCTGTTATTTAACAGCTCTTAATATTGGCCACACTTATGAATGCAAAATGAAAAAGTAGTACAATTAACAACTGATATTTGCATTTGAGGCAGTAGAGAAGAGCAAAACAAACAAAATTAAAACAAAGGAGAAAACAACACAGCTGTGATTTGAATTGATGCCCAATATGACGGCCAGAAAGTAACAATCACATGATCAAATTGTGGTGACAATGGTATTCTTTATAATTGAGATGTCCTATTGCATAAGGAGAGTCTACATAATATTAAAATACCAATCATTCTTTACTTCATGCTATTATTAATATAAGCAATTAATTATATGAAAATTGTCAAAGATGTAAGTTCCAAAATGAGGATACTTGCTCCCTTATCAAAGAAGATTCTTAAAATTAACTAAAAAAATAGCCATTTTCTACCATCCCTTAGTAATATGAATCAGCTTTACAAATGCAGTTTCTTAGTCATTTCAATTTTTCTATATTCAACATTAATATGCAATGGAAAGAACCATGTGTTAATGAAGTCATGAGAAGACCTGAAGAAATAAACTAATTTGCTTTCCATACAGACTGAGAATATCCATATAGAATGTTAAGACGACAAGCTACTTCAGTGTTAATGTGGTTCATCTATTCTCTTGGCTAGGGGCTGAGGTAGCTCTGTGATTTTCTAATTGTCACACAGCTTTATAACTTAAAAACAGAGAAAGATAAACAAAAAAGAATTGTCTTAAGATTAGCAGGCCTCTGCCAGACGGAGGAGCTACATAAGAATTTATTTGATGATTTATATTTAGACCTGAATAGGGAAAGAATCACAAAATACTAGCCTTCCTGACTATGGTGGAGTGGAATCAGTTATCCTTACTCTGAATAAATTTGGAGGAATTAGTGAGTGCTGGTTAATCTGAATCACACTAACTGTGACATGAATAAGTATTCCCTGATTAGGATCATATTTTTCATCTGCTGAGCAATATTTGAGGGGAAGTGAGTGGAAAAATACTTGCAAGATTCAGAAGACATATGAAATTGCTGGATGCCAGTATTGATGAAAAGGAAATCAAAATGTCAATTTAGTGGTATATTTGGTGGCTAAGCAGCCAATGAGGGGAATTATACCTTGATGGTGGACCATAGCAACTATAGTAGCATAGCCACTATATTAGTGAGAGTTACAGAGCCACTTCTCTGCACACCACCATGTTTTCTACAGCTAAAGAAGGAAAATTTTAATAGAAACTTATCAGAAAGTGTTGACTATTTAACATATACAGAAAACAAATCTCAGTAAAGATATTAAAACTGGATATTTTGGATGTAGTCTAATGTAAAAGAATATTTTTAAGGAGTAAAAATAGGGCAGATGTGGGATTATGAAAATAAGAACTTCAAAAGAAATATAATTACAATTCTTTTTAAAATCATTTAATCCAACTCAACATGGTATTCAGAACAAAATGAGGTAATATACATAAAATTGCTTTCTATAGTCTAAAACAGTGGCTAACAAACTCCTTAAATATTTTGGCATCTAACCTTGTGAAAACCTCCTCAGATTTTGATATTATTATTCTTCAGAATAGTTCTGGAATTGCTACATGAATCAAAGTACTATTTGAATATGCAGTATTAGTATTGATCTGCTAAACTACACTGTAAAGTAACAGCAGATATTACTTTGGCAGAATCAATGTATCATAAAATATAAACATTAAGATATGTCAATTCTTAGAGATCCTAGCTTAAATACTTTATAGGCAAGAAAATTATGATAAAGATAAAATAAGTTTCAATTAGAAGTAGCACCAGGATATGAACTGCAGCAATTGGTTCTCAATTTGGAAGTATTTCTATTCACATAAATACTTAACTATAGAGAGAATTTCTGTTGAAGAGTTTATCTTCATTGTAATTCTTGAATGGGTTAAAAGTCTTCATTATTATAATAAAAATAGTAATAGTTCTCTTGCAACTACATTTATACATAAAAGGTAAAGCAATGCATTTTGATTAAAATGTTATTTTCCATAATTATAAGGGAAGGAAAACAGGCTATAGAAAGTCAAATGACAATGTACTTAAAATTCAGAGTTAATATCTGAAAATGTCTGTAATATTTAATACTAGTAATTATTATGTCATTTTAGAGACAGTGTGTCAGATCATGTTTCTTATATCTAAATTCATAAAGGCAGAAACTTGATTTATTGTGTTTAATGTGTTTAATGTTAATTTTTTGTGTTTAATGACTAAGTTACATATCAGTTCTTATCTTCACTATCATTGGGGACAATACAGCATCAAAGCTGACCTGACTGCTATTGTAGATATAAGTAATTGTAATTATACTTCTAAATGCCTGCCTGGTCATGTTGTTTAGAATAGTAAAAAAACCAAATTGATTGATATAATTAATTTTAGTAATATTACTTTGTCATATTCAATTTAAAATCATGAAAGTGTGTGTTGAGTCGCAATTTATGCTGTACTTTGAAATTTAGCTTCTATTGTGAATGTTAGTTATTTGTTTATTGCAAACAGTGCAACATGTAACAGTTTCAACATGTCCAAAATGTGCAGCATGTACAGTTTTACAATGTAATTAGTTAGAAATTGGGGACGCTTAATTTTAAAATTGAACAGTTCATGAAAATCTATTTTCATACTCTCTACGGCTTACACAGTTTCTCTTCATAAAATGTTCTATAGTTGTTTGAAGAAATTAAGTGTAGTTAATCAGAAAGAACATTATGGTTTGACACCTAATTTGAAAGCAGTGTCTTCAAGCAGTGATTGATTGCTTATGGCATTACACAGACCAATGAGATCTCAAATAGGAAATCCATTTATGCTCAAAGTAGATTTCAGTATTGATGTAAATCAGGGTGGTATTTTTCTCTCTTTTTGTGAAACATATTTCATAAGAGTATACATGTTGGCTAAAATGTGTAGTTCATCATTTAGTCTAGTGTAATAGACTAAAATAGTAAAATAGCATTATAATAAATTGATCTAAATTATTATACACTGGAAGGCAGATCAGTGATCTTAAAGGTTTTTTTACTATGAAACCAAGTCAGTTCTAGTAATTAAAGAACAGAGTGAACTATAAAGTTCTGTAGCTTAGCATTAAAATAAAAGTGGTACAAAAAATTCTGAAATGATGTTGGTGAAGATGTTTTTATGTCTATTCTATGTCCATCTTTCCTTCAGTGCCGCCGGCAATCACGATGCCTCAGAAATCCTTTAATGCCACAGCAGAGAGAGGAGAAGAGATGACATTTTTCTGTAGGGCCTCGGGCTCTCCTGAACCCTCCATTTCCTGGTACAGGTAAGTTATGCACCCACATCCCTGTGGCTTGTGTCCATAATCAGGCTTATGGAATAATATTTGGTATCTTAATAATTTTGGCAAGTAGGAAACCATTTTTTTTAGGTTTGTTAAAATATTCATGATGCTATTGTTTTCATATAAGATGCAAATTGCTAAAGAAATAAACAGTATGAGCATGCCCTAATTTTCTGAGTCAAAAACTGTGCCCGTTGTACTTATTCTACCTATAAGACCAAATTTCTGGCCAAAATGGGTCCAGGAACCCTGTGTCTGAGTCATATATTTTAATGTTACCACTCAGTGTGTCTTGAAATAGACATCCTAGTATTGCTGGCACCACTGCTGAATGTATACAAAATCATATTTTATTAGAATATAATTGTATATTGTATTTGTGTACTATATTTCAGAAAAACACTTGTTATAGAAGGTTAAAATTCTATGAATTTAATATTTCATTTAAAAATATTTTACCTCATCAAATTAGTAATATCTTTATACCAAATATATACTTTCACAGTTTACTTATTTTTTTCAGAATTTTTAAATATTCTTTGATTTCCAGTAAGATCAAGCATATGTTAAAACATTCCATTATTTTAGTTTGTGGCTCAAACTACTTAATTGGAAATATTAAAGTTTAAATATTAAAGTTTAAAATTGAATAGTTTTGTAAATGTACATTGATAATGCAGCTTAGTACATAAATCTTAGCTACAAATATTTATGGAATCACTTCTTTACTCCATAAAGCATATTATATAAGAACAATCATGAAGAAATCATGAGAGAACAATCATAAGAAAACAGCAACAAATACATTTAAATGTGCAAAAGTGTCCATACTAAGGATTAGGTTTTAAAAAATAATAATTATACGGAAAATAATTAAAATACAAACTAATTTGTCATTACTTTCCCTGAGTATTTACTGATGTTTTCTTTAACTTTCCAACCTTTGTTTATCCAATTTATCCATCTAATACAGCACATAACAATAAAAATATTTCTTCAGATAATATGGTTTTAGATGATTGGATTACACATCAAATATTAACATATTTACCCCAGATGATCATCGTATATCTCAGAAACTGCTGGTTTAGTAAGGTGGACTCTTAACAGTCAATCTTAGATCTAATTGCATCACAGAAAAGCTCTTGCATAAGAGCTTTTGTAATGCAGTGAACAACTATGGTTGTGCAATCTTATTCTAATGATTTTATAGAGACTTCTTTTATAGAGACTTATTATTTTTCCTTAAACAAGATTTATTCAACAGATAAGGAAACTGAAGCAAAATAATTGTACCAGTGGGAAATTGAAAAATTAAAGTGAACTTGAGATACCCATGTATCACTTCGACATGCAGTGGGATAAACATTCTAAACTTCAAGCCCAGGCCTGTCTTGACTAATAAAACTGATTACTCCACAAACTGGTGGATAAACATTGTTTTGAAATTAATTATGTTGAGTGACTTATTTAAGAATGTTATAAAACACAAGTTGTTCTGTGTAAAAGGGTTAAGATGGCTTGGAAACTGCCTACCTTCGAGAGCAAGAAATAAACATGTATCTTATCCTTTAAAATAATATTTGCTTAAACTCCATCATTTCTGAGGGACAAATATATGAAAATGACACGCTTGTTACAGTTTCAGAATGTATGCCCCTGAAGAATATGACCCCAAGTCTGAGAATTAAGAGTTCTTTACTTCTTAGATATCTGCTATTAGCCTTCATCACAGATATTCCAGGTTTGATAGTAACTTCAGTTTTCCCACCTATGTAAGTTGACGTTAAGTTACACAAATTTGTCATTAGTTTCATCTTCAGGGGACATAAGCTTTTGGTGTGTCCATATGTAGTTATCTATAGCAAATACTCTTCCAATTAATAATATGCCAATTTATTATACCTAGAGCACCAAGACTCCCTAGCAGATGGGGAATGTTGGAAAAGGGGCTTGGTTTTCCAGAGAGGTTTCTTTTTTGCTTAGTTTGTTGTCTCATTTCTTAGTTTCGCATTTATTCAAAATTGTTTTCTTATATTTAATTTAAAACATTATATAAATCAGATTTATAGTATAACATAGCAAGCAATTTAAATCAATTATATATCCTCTCCATATCTTCATATGGCATAAGTTTTATTCTTTGGGTAGGATGAAATAATAATTCACTTAAAACCTAAATAATTTATGTAGTCTCTGGATGTAAAATATACAATGGAGTAATGGGAGAATGTGGTTGTGAGATTAACAGGGATAAAATTATTATTAGAGGACATGTTTTTAAAATTTTGATCTATTTATTTCTAGATATGTCATATTTGTGGAAAAATATTTTTGTAAGCCTCAGGGAACATTGGGTAGCAGCCTTGAGACAAAGATCCAAACTAAGTGTTGGATAGAGATAATATCCCAAGTGCAATGAATAAAGTCAGTTGCATTATTCAGTTCAGGCTCCCATATCAAAACACCACACATTGGGTGGCTAAAACAACAGAAATTTATTTTCTCACAGTTTGGGAGGTTACATATCCAAGATCAAAGTGCCAGCAGGGTTGGTTTTTGGTGAACTCTCTTTTCCTGGCTTATAAATGACCACCTTTTCATTAACACTCACCTGGTATTTCCTTTGTGTGCAAATACACAGAGAAATAGATTTCTCTTCCTCTTATTTTAATAACACTTGTCTTATTCAATTAAGGCCCTCATTTAACCTTTACTACCTCCTTAAAGACCTTTTCTTCACATAGAGTCACCCTGGGGTTTAGGACTTCAACATATGAATTGGGGGGGCAGAAAGAACAATTTAGTGTATAATACCAGTAAAGAAGACAATTAAGGATCAGAATTAAGATATTTTCACAGTAAGAATCAAGAACACTTAGTGGCATTTAAGTCAATGTGGGAGGAAAGCAGAGACTCTAAAAGTTCCTCTCTTCTTTTCCATTCACACACATCTATATTTATTGGGAATACAATATGAATTTTTATTGTTATCCCATTAATTTGGTGAATTTCATTGATTTTCAAATGTTGAAACAACTTTTCATTCCTGTTTAAAACTCACTGGATCATAATGTGTAGTCATCCCCCACATAATGACATTTCAGTCAATGATGGACCACATTCACCACGGTGGTCCCTCAGATTACAATGGAGCTGCAAAAAAATCCCATCGCCTAGTGACATTTTCGTCATCATAACATCATAGCAGGGCATATCACCTGTGTGCGGTGATGCTAGTGTAAACAAAACTGCTGTGCTGCCAGTCATATAAAAGTATAGCACACACAATTATGTATAGTACATAGTACTTGATAAATGACTATATTATTGATTTGTATATTTACTATAGTTTTTATCATTATTTTAGAGTGACTCCTTCTACTTATAAAAGAGAAAAGTTAACAGTAAAGCAAATTCAGGCAGGTCCTTGAGGAGATAGTCCAGGAAAAAAAGGCATTGTTATCATAGCTCCATGCATGGTATTACTCCTGAAGACCTTGCAGTGAGATAAGATATGGTGGTAGAAGACAGTGATATATGTGTGTGTGTGTGTTTGTGTGTGTGTGTGTGTGTGTGTGTGTGTGTGTAGGGAAGTATTTCCTCTGCTTCTGTTAACTGATAGAATTTGTATAAAATGTTTATATTTCCTACTTAAAGGTTTGGAAAAATTCCCATTGAAAGGATCTGTGTTAAAGTTTTTGTTATGTAGAGGTTTAAGTACAGATTTATTTTTTTCCATAGATATAGGACTATTCTGATAATCTCTTTACTGACTGTGATGATTTATGCAATTCTAGGAATTTGTCCATTTTAAAAAATATATATTTACTATCATATTCTTAGTTTTCATTTTTTATACATTAATTTGAGTATTATTTATAGTGGTCTTCACTTTCTCATCCTGATAACATCATAACTGGTTATTTGTTCTACTTTTTAATCCTGATTGATCTATATGTGAGTTTATAAACACAATGGGGTCCATAAGTTAGCTTTTGGTTTCACTTCTTTTCTTTTCTTTTTCTTTTTTGGTATTTTATTGATTTCTGCTTTTATCTTTATAATTTTTCTTCTGTTAACTTGGATCTTAATTTTTTCTTCCCTTTTAGTTGCATAAAGTGGACACAGTTCATTGACTTTAATCACTTATTCTTTTCAAATACAAACATACCATTTCCTCTGTAACCAATTCTTTAATTACACCCTGCTAATTTTAATCTATGGTATTTACATTTCTGTTGAGCTCAAATATTTTTAAAATTTTCCTTGTTATGCTATTTTTAATATTAGTTCTTTAGAAGTGTGCTGACTCATTTGTAAGTATTTGGGTATATTTCATAAATATTTCCACTATTGATTCCTAAGTAAATTCCATACTTTTCAGGCAAAATTACTTATTAATCATATTTATTTAATATTATTGAGTCTTATTTTATAGTCTATATTAGTAAATGTTCTATGTATACTTGAAAATTTATAATAGTAGAAGTGTGCATTCTAATATTACTGCATGTGGGAATTTGTAAATATTAAATGGATCCATTTGCTTGATAGTATGTTTTGAGTCTTCCATATCCTTTCTTATTTCCATTATTTCCCAGCTTCATTTATATTACTTTTTTAAATTTCAGCATCTTACAAAGGTACAAATGTTTAGGATACATTGCCTTTGCCCCATCCGAGTCAGAGCTTCAAGTATGTCCATCCCCCCAGACAGTGTGCGCCATGTGCATTAGGTGTGAACATACCCACCCCTACCTATCCCCCTCCCACCTGCCCCACACCTGATGAATGTTATTACTATATGTGGACTTAAGTGTTGATCAGTTAATACCAATTTGATAGTGAGTGCATGTGGTGCTTGTTTTTCCATTCTTGTGATACTTCACTTAGTAGAATGGGCTCTAGATCCATCCAGGATAACACAAGAGGGGCTAGATCACTATTGTCTTTGGTGGCTGAGTAGAACTCCATGGTATACATATATCACATTTTATTAATCCACTCGAGTTATTTCCACACCTTTGCAATTGGTGAATTGTGCTACTCTAAACATCCTAGTGCAGATGTCTTTTTTATAGACTGTGTTTTGCTCCTTTGGGTAGATGCCCAGTAATGGGATTGCAGGATCAAATGGTAGTTCCACTTGGAGCTCTTTGAGGTATCCCCATATTACTTTCCACGGAGGTTGTACCAGTTTGCAGTCCCACCCACAGTATATGAGTGTTCCTATCTCTCTGCATCACACTAACATTTATTACTTGGGGAATTTTTGATAAAGGGCATTCTTACTGGAGTTAAGTAATGTCTCCTTGTAGTTTTGATTTGCATTTCCCTGATAATTAAAGATATTGAGCGTTTTTTCATATGTTTGCTGGTCATTAGTCCGTCTTCTTTTGAAAAGTTTCTGTTCATGTCCCTTGCCCACTTTTTAATGGGGTTGCTTGATTTTTTTTTTTTTGCTGATTTTCCTGAGTTCTATATAGATTCTAGTTATCAGCCCTTTATTGGATATGTAGCCTGGGAAATTTTTCTCCCATTCTGTAGTTTGTCTGTTTGCTCTCATGAGAGCACCCTTGGCTATGCAGAAGCTTTTTAATTTGATCACGTCACATTTACTTTTTTTGTTGTTGCTGTGATTGCCTTTGGGGCCTTCTTCATAAATTCTTTCCCTAGGTGAGGTCCTAATTTGATCAGGTCCTATTTATTTATTTTCGTTGTTCCCGTGGTTGTCTTTGGGGTCTTCATCATAAATTCTTTGCCAAGCCCAATGTCTGTAATAGTATTTCCAACATTTTTTTCTAGAATTCTTATAGTTTCAGACCTTAGGTTTAAGTCGGTCATGAGTTAAATCCACCATGAGTTGATTTTTGTGAGAAGTGAGAGCTGTGGATCCTGTTTCAGTCTTCTACATGTGCCTATTCAATTTCCCCAGTATCATAAGGATTCTTTTCCCCAGTGTATGTTTTTGTCTCCTTTGTCAATGATAAGATGGCTATATGAGGGTAGTTTTATATTGGGGTTCTCAGTTCTGTTCCATCCATCTAGGTCTCTGTTCTTGTGCCAGTTGCATGTTGTTTCTCGTTACTATAGCCTCGAAGTATAGCTTGAAATCTGGTAAAGTAATGCCTGCCAATTTGTTCTTTTTGCTTAAGATTGTTTTGCTATACAGTCTTCCCTGTTTTTATATGAAGCGTAGAATTATTTAATCTAGTTCTGCAAACATAATGTTGGTATTTTAATAGGAATTCCATTGAATCTGAATGATATTTATTTTTACTTCTATATATGTGTTGAATTACATTTATAAATTTGCATATGATGTGGAATAATTTTCATAGGATAGACACTAGTTCTTCTTTGTAGGTCTGGTAAAATTCAGGTGTGAAACCATCTGGTCCCATCTATTTCAATGTTCAGTTCTCTCTGTTTTTCTTCCGGTTTTTTTTTTTGTTGTTGTTGTTGTTGTTTTTTTGAAGCTCTATTATTGTGTGTATAAACATTTATCCACATCAGATCAGTACTATACAAATTACTGAAGAGCTTTGACTAGAGACAAGGAAATGATAACAGGTAGAACTTTGTTTCAGTCCTGTCTTTCTGTTTTTCAGTTTGCTATGTCTTCACATTCACTCGTCTTTTCTTCTGTAATGTCTAGTCTGTTCTTAATACCACTGGAATATTATTTTAATCATCCATTTTTTTTTTATCTCTACAAGTTTGAGGAAGGCCTTTTGTTTGTCTTCCTTTCCTCTCCTTTCATTCTCATGCTTTACTTCCTTGAACCTATAAGAATACATGTCTAATAGTTGTTTTAACAGACGTGTCTACTAATCTAACATCTACGTCATTTATACATCATTTTAATTGACGTTCTCCTTTTTATGGATCATATTCTTGTGTTTATTTACTGTACTGATAATTTTTATTGCGTGACTAGTATTGATAATTTTATACATTAGAGTGCTGGATATTTTAGCATTCTTCTACTTTGTTTTATTGTACAGTTGAGTTACTTGGAAAAAAGTTCTTTCTTCTTGAGGCTTTCTTTTGGGCTCTTTTATGTGGATCCAGACTAACTTTTAGTCTAGTGTTAATTTATCGCCATTACTGAGGCATTATTTTTCTAAGGACATAACTTAAAGCTGTGTGTTTAGGAGATCTTCTACTCTGGATAGTTGAAGTACAAGTTATTCCTGATATTAGGTAAGCTTCTGGGATTGTTGTACTTTATCTTTTCCAATAGTTCTTTTCCTAGCCTGAGAGAGCTTTACTGGCATGCACTCATCAATATTCGGTTAAAGATTTGTTGGGGACCCTCTGCTGATATCTGTACCTCTATTGCTTGTACAGCTCTCTTCTCTCCCATTTTCTAACCTGCAAATCCTAGCCACTTTGACCTTTTCCAACTGGAAACTCTGTCTTTCAACCCACATACACTACCAGACTCTGTTCAGGTTTTTCCTCTCCCAGCTGCAACCTGAAAAGTGTTCAGGCAGTAAGATATAGTGATCCTCTGTGGCCTCTTTCATGTGCTACCTGTTGCCCAGTGTTTGAAAACTGTAATTTTATATGTGAGGCTAATGTTTTTGTTATTAGGGAGGGAAAATGTGGCTCCTCTGTTTCCATTATTGTCAAAAATGCAATTATTACCATTCTGTATTGTTGCCATTAATTCTGTAATTTTGACTCCTATTTTCTTGTACCTGGAAAAGGGGCACTTAAATAAGTGAGCACTTACTTAAAATATGAACTTAAGGGAATATATCAGAATCCTCTGGGAGTGCTTATTCAGACATTGACATCCCATAGAAATGGGCTGTAAATAACAATAGGAGCATATTCTAAACCTATTAGTTGGGAAAGAGATATTAAGAATATTACTTTATTTATTATACTTTAATGATTTTTTAATTAAACATTAATGGGAATGTATTCTTCATGCACTTATTTCCTCCAAATCTGTTCTAGATGCACTCATCTATTTCAAAGACCAAATCAAGGTTTTTTTTTATATATTCCAATAAAAATTATCAGAGTATAAGTCATCTTCCTTTCTTTTTTATCCTACTATAACAGACCAGTCATCAAAAAAATTATAAGTTTATTAATGGAATCTATATTATCCTGTATTAATTCCAACAAGATTATGAATTCTTCATGATGGGTGACAACTAATTTGCTATACATCACACATTTAGCGCAGTATTTCATATGAAGTAGGGAAATATCTTTTTTTATTGGAAAGAACACCGGAACTTAATTAACCTGCTCCTTTTATGACTATTAGCCTGAGTCTCTTCATTTGTGAATTGAAAGGTTGAAATATACATCAATTTTAGTTCTCTGATTTGTGAATGTGGATGGAGGAAGAAAATGCAAATCTATAGGATGATTGTATTTGATAAATAAAATAAGACAATGAAAGTGTTTTAAAAATTGTAAGCTACTGAAACCTCTACTGTATTATTATTATTGTTATTGTTAATGACCAAATGAATGATTTTCATTGAAAAGATTGAGAAATATAGTGTATCACTAATTGTGGTGAAAGCCCAATATCTGCATTAAATTCTAGACAAAAATGCTGAAATGTTATTTTTATAATTGTCATAAAGATTGAATTAGTAAAATATGAGTAAATATATGAGAAGTATAGGATGGTATATATGCTTTTGTTATTATTATTTTAATAAACACTAACTCCTTGATCCTCTACTCTTCTTAAAGATGTTTTACACACTATATTTAGAGATGTCATGAGAAACTGGAAAAACAAGTACTCTTGAGTCATAGAAGAATAAGGCTTGTATTACTATCTATGTCAGTGTTTTCTGGGAAGTAGAACCAGAATTCACTGGAGACAATTTTAGTGTATCAGAGAAATCTGTTATCCCAAGAGTGATTTTTTAATAATCTCCATAGACATTTTTTTCTTTGAATTTAAAATTGTATGGACAAGTATATCTCCACAACCAAAATAATAGATCCCCAAATTTTTACATTTGTGAGTCTTAGAATTATTTCAGCCACCCAAACTACTACTCCAAGAAAAAGAAGGAGGAGAAAATGGAATTGAGGAGAATAAAAAGGAAGTGAAGCAAATTCATAATATAAGAATATTACACAAATATTAAGAAACACTATAGAAATATTTAAAATTATAATATATTTAAAATATTTCTGTAGATTATAGTAAAAAGTATTGAAAATGATTATTCTAAAGCGCTACAAAGACTAAAATGGGAGCAGAATAAGATCCATTCAGTCCAGAAAGAACTTGGAGAATATTGACAATTATTGTTGTCTAAGAGGAAGTATAAAAATGATTTATTCTCATAGTTAATGAGTTAGATCATCATATGCAGCATAATATCTCAAATTAGTTGTTTTCACATAATTCTCTCATCTTTTATTAACAGTACTTATATGTAATATAAATTTATTATATGTTTATATTGTATTCATTTTGAACTTCTTTAAAGGTTGTTTCCATATAAATTATTTTAAATGTGTCCCAGGAAGCCAGTTAATACATAATTTTTAAAATATGTGTTGGCATACCAGCATTTAAGTATGGAATTTATACTTAAATTCCATTTACGTATGGAATTGAAAATCAACAAAGAAATCTATTTTTTCTAATAATCAAAGTAGGAATTGAACTGATGTGCTTTTTATGTCTGACTAATGTCAAGATTTCAACATAGCTCAAATGTTATTTTTGTCTCTAAAATGAAAACAATTTTTAAAGATAATTTTAACATTTATGCATTGTATTAATGGGCTGCTGAAAGTATACTTTTTATTGGAATACAGCCATGTCTGCCAGTGATACTAACCATGAAATAATTGATGCCTAGAGATCAAAAAGTTGATTATAATCTTTTGAGTTATAAAGTCAGATTTGTGAAGATCAACCTTTTTTTTTTTTTTTCTATTTAGGAATGGCAAGCTCATTGAAGAAAATGAAAAGTACATGTTGAAAGGAAGCAATACAGAACTCACTGTCAGAAACATAATCAATAGCGATGGGGGCCCTTATGTCTGCAGGGCCACAAACAAGGCAGGAGAAGATGAAAAACAGGCATTCCTTCAAGTCTTTGGTAAGTATTGTAGCATAGTGGTTACAATTGTTATATCCAGAGGAAGATATGAGTCAATTTACTTTGTCATTCATACAAATTGTTTAAACTTTTAATAATTAAACCTAGTTTCTTCTTCTCTGTAATATATTTTTAATTTTCAGCTATCAGTTAGAATTATTTTCAGAATTATATAACATTGCATATGCAAATTTTTGTGAGATTCCCTGACTCATGAGAAACAAAAGAAAATTCATTTAAATTACACCTATATATAATTGCATGTATTACATTACATTGTAATATATCTATATAAGTGTTGATCTTCATAAGTCTTTAAATGACAAATTTAGGGATTAGTTTTACTTTCAATATACATCAAAAGAGCACATCTGTAAGGCTGTAATTGATAAATATTGACCTATAATTAAATATTCCTTTTTCTTTATATTCAAAGAAATTGTAAATATTGTCCATATTTACCAAGAGCTATATTGTCCTTTTTTGAGAACTTATAAATCATAAGAAACTAGTACTTCAAAAATATTGATTTAGCATCATCATATTTGCAAGAAGAAGGACAGTTATGCTGGTGTATACTTGTAATGTGATTTTTCTGTTTAAATAGCATAACATTAAAAATCACATGTAGTATTAGCATCTAGTATATTTTCACCATCTTTAAAAATATTGCTATCAAAATGCTTTCACAACAAAAAGAGGAAGAAGAAGGAGAAACTCTGTGAGAGTTAGAAGGACCAATAGTTACAGTTAGCAGGTGCAGAGGTATGATTTACACTGGCCACAGGATAATACCTGTGTGGATGTGGTCTTTGTGGATTAGTCCTGTGGTCACTCTCTCTGATGGAAGCATTTTCTGAACCAGAGAGATTTTCATAAAGCTTATATTCTAGTAGAGTGAGACGGAAAATAAACAGGTATATCAAAATGTATTTAAAAACTTAAATTTGAATAATACAATGTCCCAAGAAGAAGAGTGATACTGGATAAATCAGGTGGTGTTGGATAAAGAGGACCATTATCATGGATGGTATGACGTTGGAAAGTCATTCAGAAGGATAATGTCTAGGTTGTCTTAACACAAAAAGCTTTAATGATGAAAAGTAGGCCAAGCCAAGAGGGTGGAGAAGATTGTTCCTGTAGAGGGAAGAGCCAATAAACTTAAAACTATTAGAAATTATAGAAAGTACTTAACATGTACCAGCAATATTCTCCACTTAAGTATATGGTTTTCTTTGCAACCTACAACACTAAGCAAATATGACTCAGTATAAAAATAAATTAATTAATTAGAAAAGGTAATGTATGAGATAATTCCAAAGGATGGGTGTTTTTAATCCATCTCAGTGGAATCATGTGAAATACTATTTAGTTACTTCTTTGTTATGAGGGTGGCCGTGAGTGAGAGCAAAGAGATAAATAAAAGAAAGTTTCTATTTTCATCCTTTTAAATGGAAAGTAATGCATGAAATATTATATGTCATGTCACTATTGTAATCACATTTGTATGGTAACACTAAACAAATTTTGGTTGCTTTGGATACAAAAGCATGTACATATAATGAGAATATAACTGAATCCATTAAAGGGAAGAGAATAAACAATGAATTGTTAAAATTTTGTCTGATATCAGAAAATTCTGACACCATAAATGTTATTTTCTGATATTAAGAACAAATTATTTATATTCCCTGGTTAATTTTATTAAAAGATTTTTAAAAAGAAGTTATTGTATTAAAATAAAAAGTGCTGGATTTTTATTGAAGTTTTGTCTGAACAAGCAAAAATTTAAGAAATGCAGATAACACAAAGTTCAAAAATTAAGGTCTGTGGTATTATGTAATTTTATGGAGGGACATTTTTAATATTAAGATCATTTAAATTTGTAAGTATAATTTTTTATAGAAGTTATAATTTGCAAAGAAAGAATTACAATGTCTAATGTATAGTTAAGTAAAATGAAGTCAAAATAAATTAAATGGAATAATATATGTAAATGATATGCTTATATATTTACTTTGTAAGTATTTTCACACTTTTATATAATTATATTTACTACATATTCAGGATAAATCATCATTTTCCCTCCTTGGTGAAATTGTTATTACAGTTCTAGAGATAATCATTAAATAAATGGATACTATAGTGTATATACATGTATATTTGCACACATACATGCACACACATGTAGCTTTAAAGGAAGAAATTTTAATTTTGTGGTGTTAATAAAGGAAAATAAATTATAAGATAGCTTTTAAATTGGGAAAATTTTGAAAGGAATTGTAATTTGTACATTGGTTTCTAGGCAACCACAAATTAATTTTATGATAATGAGCATTATTTTCTAAAATTTTTTCTCCTGTTTCTCCTGTAATTTGCAACTCTCTTGACAGTTTTATATATAGCAAAGCACGTCACTGTGATTGCTACAAAGTTAATAGTCTCCTACTCTACTAAAGTAAACTTAAATGCCCACCATAAATTTTATGTCTGAGTGGTAATATTTTCCTCTAATACCGATTGAGTAATATATATATTCTTTACAGTACAGCCTCACATAATACAGCTTAAAAATGAGACAACGTACGAGAATGGTCAAGTCACACTCATATGTGATGCGGAAGGGGAGCCTATTCCAGAAATCACTTGGAAAAGAGCTATGGATGGCATCACATTTTCTGAAGGCGATAAGGTAATAGCATCTCAATATGTAGTAGTTTCTAATACCACTGCAATTTCCAGTGTTTTGAATATTATTAAATCTCTCATAGTCTCCAACTTAGTCACTTGTAGAAATCAAACAAATGATTTAATTTTTAAAAAGGTAACTTCAAAGAAGAAAAAATGTCAATATGAAATATTTAAAGATGTTATTCATTAAGTCACAAATTCTTAAGCTGATGGTATTTTTCTTAGAGTTGCTTACATGGACTTTGGATTAAACATTAAATCTTTAAAACATGTTACTGCAATTTTAACCTCTACCCCTGCTGTGTAAGTATCTGGCCTTTGAGACTAGATTGACAGTGAGAAAAGTACTTGAAACAAATAATATTGCCATTTTAAACAGAATAAAGATTCACAAATCAGTACATTTGACTTTAAACCTTAGCAATTTCAGTTTGTTAAATAAATGATTGTGCATTTAGAAACTACTATAGTGAGTGATGAGTGCTGGAAGGGATTTGCAAAGGAAAATATTTATTTTGAATTAACTTAATTTCCTTTTTATTTAGGCAGGGGTCAAAAAACTATCTCCCACAGGCCAAATCTGGCCTGCAGCCTGTTTTAGTAAATAAAGTTTTATTGAAACTAAAAGGAAAAAAAAGCAATTCCAATTCAAATAAGTCTGGCTATAATTTAACATTTTAATCTTTAAAATTGTCTTTGTGCTTACAAGTGTAGGTTTGTCCTTTCATATAATTTTGAATCTATAAAGAGAAAATAAGTACATACAAATCACTGTACTTTGGTGATGTTTCACAAGAATGCATTCGAGTTATTTAGAAATCAATTAAACATTACTATATATTTCATTACCCTTCATGGATTTTAATTATTGTTATTTTTCACAACTATTCATTCAAAACTCCAAATACACACAAAGGTGAGAGAGGTAGGAAAAGATAGCAAAGTACTGACATAAAGGAACTCACATTTTCATATTAGTAAAGATTATAAAATTAGGCTACTAGATAGCTTTTCTCTACTAAGTGTTAAAGGGAAACCTTCTTTAAACTTTTTCATTAATTTAGATTGATTTCTGCTAAAAGTCTGATTTCTAAAATATCCGTGCACATCAATGTACCTTTGACTTACTAACATTGATAGTAAAAATAAATAGAAATCATTTTGTCCATAATATATTTTCTAGCCCTCAATTCATTGTATTCTACTTAACAGCATGCTATTCCATAACATGATAAAAAGGCATATCTCTCTGACCCATTTATTACTTCTTTTTTGAAAGAATATGTTATCATATATATCAACCTTTTTTGTCCCATTTTTCTTCTTTATGACATTTTGAACAAAATATATCTCTTTTGGTAATAGTTGAGCTATTTTGATATATTTCATATATTCAATTTTATCAAATTTATAAATATATCAAATTTATAAATTGTGAATTAAAATCAAAGTCTTTTGGCAACTCAGAGAAATGTTACAGTTTGCTTTAATATTTTCTTAACAGAAAATCATAGGTATTACTGTGGCACAGTTGCCAAAGCCAAAAAGAATTACATTTTCATAAAATTTCAAAAATGTAATGATATATTTAAAATGATTGGAGATTATTTTATAGTTGAATTTTGCACATGTATTTATATCAGATCACTCGAAAGTATCTATTTTCATGCCTTTAGCCCTTATTAACTGTACCTTCATATTTCTAGTGCTATGCTTTCTAATTATTTTCATGTCTACTATAAAATTTCTAATAGTTCTCTTCTCAAAGAAAACTTTTACTCTCCATTTAATATATATATATATGCTGAGAATGAGAGGTAAATTATATTCAGCTATTTTATTGGTAAAATTTTATCAAGTAATCAAAAAGCTGTGATATTTTATTCTAGGATCTATGTCCAGGGCACCCCAACCACACACAAAAATTTTTCTATACTACCTGTGAAAAATTATCTTTCATTTTCTGTTTGCTAAGGATTATCCTAATTAAAAAAAATCTTTTAAATTTTTTTGACATGGTTTATTTGTCACAAAACAATTATGGAATCCCAAACATGCTTTTCTATACTACTTTTATTCAGCGGATAAAGAAATTAAGGCCATTGTCTTTCTATCATGATGGTTCACCAAATATATTTTAAGATCCCCAAATTATTTCTTGAATTCTAGTAAGCCTCTTTTCTCTTAATATTCATAGCTTCTTCAACAACAAAATTCACAAATTGAATGGTCGAGCTGAACCTTGAAGTAAAGCAGATCAAGTTTTGAATCTCAGCTTTGCCATTTATGATGCTTCTACTTTGGCAGTGTTATTTGAACTTTTTAATATGAGTTTCTTCCGCTTTCAAATGTTGGCAATAATATTTATTTCCCTTATTGTCATCAGAAAGATGAGAAATACATTATAAAATACATGTCAAAATGTTTAGTATACTATAAATATTCAATAAACTTTATTTTTATCTTTGCCATATTACATAATTTTTAAAGCATAGTTTATATTGTTGCTATTATTCTGATTAAATTCTGGTTGCTAATAGATTCCATAAAATCTGACACCAAAGGTTTGATTGAATACTATCAGAGAGTTTATTGAGATCATATCATTCTTGTCATGGAAAAAGCATGAGATTGTACTTTCTATAAACGTCCATTGGACAGCCTAATGAAGATTCTAGATTCCTACTCTTGAAATTTAATTTATTATGTCTAGCCTGGGGCTTAGGAATGCATATTTAATAAACTCATCAGTTGGTGTCAGACAGTCTTCAGGCCATATTTTAGAAAACAACTCATAACTCTAAGTCAAAATGAAATTTTACAACTAATCTATTCAACAGAAAAGTGCTCTTAACAGATTAGTTGGCACCCAATAGGGACTTGGGAAATACAAAACTAAACTAAACTAAAGTTCCAATTATGCACACACCAGTCAAAGTTTTGATAAAATCTCAAACATGTAGGTCATAGGCAGTGAAATATCTTCAGTGTCCTATACTTCAAACATAATTTCATCCAACAACACGATAATTCTGTTTAGCAAATACGTTCATCCTTGTACATTTTTCAAAGTGGAATCTCAGTTAACAGAATCTCTTTTCCTTGTGTAATTCATAATCAATCACCAAATAAGACAATATAAATAAATGAGGATAAAATATCATAGGGCTTAAATCTATAGGTAAGTCAATGTTCTTGTACTAAACTTGAGAATTGGATAAATGTACCCTATACAGTACCAAGTAGCATTAGACCTTGCAGCCCTGCCCTGGGAGAAGAGACACTAAGGTTACCATCATGGATGAGAGCAGTAGAGCACCTATGATCCTTTCTGAAAATGAAAAGAAAAGGAGCGGTAAGGAAGTGCATCCAATTTGGTATCCCCATAGTTAGCAATCAGATATATACTTATTGAGAGAAGTAAAGCAGTTGGGAAGTCCAGGAGTGGTATGTTAGAAGAGCTCCCCTCTCATAGAATAAATATTCAGAGACTTTGAGAAGTATTCACTGCTCAACTAGCAATATGCTTATAACGTTTTAGTAATCACTATATGCACATTATCCCAATTTATCTTTCATATTCTTAATGCCTAATAAATGACCCCAAAACATAGGGGCATAAACCAACTATTTTATTTTGTTCATGATTTTGTGAATCAGGACTTTGAGTAAGGCTTAGCTGAGTGGATATCACTTGGATTTTCTAATGTGCTTGCTCTCAGATGTTGTTTGTAGTTGTAGTTACAGGAAGGCTCAACTGTGCTGAGAAGCCAAGATGGCTCACTTAAGTTGCTGGCAGTCACTGCTGGCTGTGGGCTACAAGCTCAGTTGTAGCTGTTTGGGGAACACTTACATGAAAGTGTCTGTAGCTTCGCTGTTTCAGAAGTCTGTCCTCTCCTGTGTCAGCAGGCTTTCTCCAGAGAGAACATTGGAAGACAATCAGGTCAGACAGGCACTACATGGACTTTTCTGAACTAGTCTTGGAAGTCACACATTGTCACCTCTGCCACACTATAATGGTCACAAACAAATTATGAAGCCAGCACATAATTCCCAGAGAGGAATTAGACTTCCTCTCTTGATGAGGAAGGATTCACAATCACATTATAGAGAGGTATGTTGGATGGGAGATACTGTTAAGGCTGTCTTTTGAAAATGTATCTGCAACAATGTATCTCCAAAATATTCCCATGAGCTAAGTCCACTTGTTTTCTCAGGCTGGTAGAAGAGGCAACAGAAGCTCAGGGAAATACAGGGGTTTGGTCAAGGTCCCACAGGGAGTAAATGGCAGTTCCAGGACTTGAATTGTGTCTCTCACTCTTCATAGTACATGCCTACACAGGTGCATTAGGATTCCATTAAAGAGTATGGCTGGCCTTCTCATACTCATTTACATATTTCCATTCAATCAAATGGAAATGAAAAGTCAGAAGAAACTTTCATTTTTTAAACTTGTTTGTAATCTGATACTTCCTATTGTAAACTAATTAAAATATGATGGTCAGTAAACACTAAAATTTCTTAATGAGTTTAATTAAATATGTATGTGTAAAATTACTTCTTATAATAGATGTTACCAAAAATATTTGAAAGTGCATGCTTTAAGAAACAATCTAGAATCTTAGGACTATTATTTTTATAAAATAAATGATTAATTTAAGATAGTAAATAAATGTTTTCAGAGTTTCTCTTTAATAAATATGGGTTAAAGTTTTAATGATACTAACTTAATAACTACTATGTGATCCTGTTTTTTTTTTCTTATTGTTGGGCACAATTTTATACTAAAATCCAGGTCAGCTTCCATGAGAGATAGAATCATATTAATTTCACACAAATGCTATTGAGAAAAAAATGTGTCTTATTATATGCAATTTCCCATATTCTTCTGGTTCCTAATGCTAATAACCCTCTCTTTATTTGTGAATGACATTAAACTATTGAACTATGCACATTAATGTTCCATAAATTATCCTTGCAAAATATAATATCTTTCAACAA